CGGGGAGGGCCCACCCCCAGCCCCTGGCCTTTGTTTCTTCCTCCCCCTTCCCCCCCACATATATTGTCATTTAAGTTTTAAGTAAAGAGTTTGCCTAGTGCAGGGATGGGCAAGACAGCCTCTGTGGACCGGATCCAATCTGCCAGGCTGGTGGTTTCAGCCTGTGACCTCAGCCCCTAGGCCATTAGAGACCTGGGGGGCTGGGGAGAGCACAAAGTCTCCCCACCACCACCACCACCAGGTGTGCAGGGCACCAGAGTGGAACCACTGGCTGCCTTTAAACAGCCAGAGATTCTCTGTAGGTGCTGCAAACCTTTGACAGGCTGGAGGCAGGGGGTGAGGGACTTCATATGCTCCCTCCCCCACCCCCAAGCCCTGATTAGCCTGGGGGCAGGGAGAGTGCATGAAATCTGTCTCCTGCTGCTGTGCCTAGAGGGAACTGCCAGCTGTTTTAAAAACAGCTAATGATTCTGTGGGTGTGGAGGCAAAGACTTCACAAAGTTCCCTACCCCCAGGCCAATTGGGGTCTGTGGGCAGGAGAGCATGAGAAGTCTCCTGGTGCTGCCCCTTTCGCCCAAGGCCCAATCCCTTCTGGGATGGCCAGCCACTTCAGAAATGTATGAAGTGGCCCCCTTTTAAAAATGATTGCCCACCCCTGGCCTAATGGGATGTTTGTGCATGTATGTGTTGCGTATGGCTAGGAGCCCCTTATTTGAAAAGAAAAAAAAAAAAAAACCTCCAAATCTAACTGCTGTCATAAAAGGAATACTTCTATCAAATAAATCATCATTTTTCTATTTTGTTTTTCTTCCCCCTCCCAGGTTTTTGTACTGGCTCTCACATTTCTGCTGCTCTTCCTTGGAAATTTTCTTACTACTTTAAAAGTGGTGCACACTAAGCTACAGAAAAACAAAGATGAAATGAAGAAACTGTAAAACTGGATTACTGTGGTGGACACTAAAATGAGGGATCTGTCATCTTCTCACTCGTAGCAGATAATTTATCAAACTGAACCTGGTAAACAGCAGCTATATTGCAAACAAACCCTGGAAGAAATCCCTGTTCATGTTATGCTAAGAATGTGAACTCTCCTGGCACAGACTGCTGTACAGTATTATGCAAGCACTGCTCTTCAGCATGCAGCCCTATTATTTAAGTATATTTAATACAAAACACAGTTGGTGTTTTTCCTTTGTATAGACAGCAGTCATATGGCATGCACCTGCCGGAACAAACACTAGTCTTGGGAGAAAGTGGTATTTTATTTGTTGTTGGGCTGGGTTTTTTTGGTCCATCACTATTTTATTTCTGAAATTCCTGGTACTACATTAGTAAAACTCTAAAAATTCTTTAGGTCAACTGGTAATGAAGACCTAATGTCTATCTCTAAAACTGTTAATTAAAATACTATATTTTCAGTGGCCTATGCTAACCTGTGTGTACTGTGAAACTTGCCCATATTTGTACCATGCTGCTATGCACACTTTTTAAAAACCTATTTAAAGAACAAACTTTTTTAAGTTAATGGTTTAACTGGTTATGTTTTGTTATTGGCTTTGTTTGCGGGAAGCCTGGTAATACTCAGCTAGAGATCAGATAATCTGGTCAGCCCTGAAAAACGCACAAAATAAATAGTACAACACAAAGCAGTTTGAAGACCTTCTTTTAAATACTGTCTTTAAGATTGTTTTCCAAAACTGTTTTCTTTCTGAAAATAGCTCTGACTGACAGTTGTAATTGTGGTACTTGTGCATTTAGTTACTTTAATTTTCTCATTTCTAGTTTCCAATGCTATGTTTATGGAAACAGATCAATAGGCATGATTAATACTTACTAATTAATAATACTGTACTAGTTTGGTTACCCGAATTATCAAGCTGCCTGCTAGATTTAAGTGAAACTGAAATTTTCCTCCAGCAAGCAGAACTGAGCCCAGATGTTGACTCTCCTTTCACTTACCATTCTTTTACTTCTTGTCATTCTGATTTTAAATTTGCTTATCCAATGTAGCTAATTCATTTGTCTTCCATTAATGCCCATATATCCTAACATGGTGTATAAACACTATAGGCAGAATTCTGCTGTCTTGCACACTGTTCAAACTCAATAACCTCACTTGTGTTGCATGAGACATGAATGGTGGCTGTGTTTGGCCTAGTGTGATTATTTTAAAATTGTACCCGGTCACAAATTTAATATGCTTACACACGCATTGCAGCTTCTGAAATAGTTCATTAAAGTGTATTTTGGTGCTTCTGCTTTTCAGGAGGAGTAACTGTACACTTGACCTTGCATGGTCGACTTTAGTGTAGTGCAGATGGAGTGCTAAGAGAGCCAATGTACTGGGACTGCAGGAAGTGTCCCACTGTGACCACTCTGGCTAGGACTTTAAACTCTGCTTCTCTCCAGGTGAACAGGAACAGCCCTGGGAAAATTTGAATTTCATTTTCTATGTGGCCAGCATGGCGTGCAAACCTGAGAGCAGGCAGGCAGCACAGGTGACCATGAATGCCCAGACTGAAAACAAGCACCAGCATGGAGTGTGCAGGAGATCCTGGACCTCATTGCTGTGTGGGGAGAGGAATCCATTCAGGCAGAACCATGAACCAACAAAAGAAATGCTGATATCTATGCTAGGATTGCAAAGGCCATGGTGGAGAAAGGATACACCAGAGATGCCCAGCAGTGTTGCATGAAAATAAAGGAGCTCAGGCAAGCATACCAGGAGATGAAGGAAGCAAATGGATGTTCTGGGTCATTGCTGCAAACATGCGGCTTCTTTGAGTAGCTGCGTGGGATTCTAGTTTCCCAAGCCAGTCTGTGGATTCCTCCCAAGACACTTCTCGGACAGGCTCAGGCAGCAGCATGGAGGACGAGGAGACCGGTCAGCAGGCAAGTGCAACATCAGATCTCACTAACAGCCAGAAACTTGAACTTTGGGGACAATCCCTTCCTCCCAAGATGTTTCTGCTGGGCTCTGAGGGCAGGGAGGACACTTCTAGTGAGTTCACATTTTTAATCCATGCTACAATTGGGAGTGATCTGTGGTGGCCGTTCTGCCCACACTGCAGAGGCTCCACAGACCAGCTCCTTAACCTCCCTGCACAAAGCTCTCCTAGTGTAACTCTTTTATCCTTTTCACAAGATTTCTTCAGAGGCCTGTCTTATTCCATCCTCCCATGGTAGGCCACCTTTCCACTCCTAGATGTCAGTAAGTGCAGCATCAGGTTTGGGCTTCTGGCCACATTGACACAGCATCCACTCCTTATCAGTCTTCTCCAAATTAGACTGATATCACATGTGATGACCTGGATGGAGCAGGGGTGTTACCCGCACAAATTTCTCTATCCCTTCCGCACTGTAGGGACACCCACCTTTACGTAGTGCCTAGGGCTCAAGGTGCAACCCTATTAATTTATACACCCACCCTTACCCAATTCCTAGGGCTCAGGGTATAACAACGCAGGTTGGCAGGATCTGTAGCCACTGAAAGAGCTTCACACAGTAATATCCTTATCCCCTATTTATTGACAATTCCCAAACAAGCAGAATACACATGCTCAGCCCACAGTGTCATGCTCACCAATCCTGATAAAGGCAGGCAGACTTCCCCTGTTGGCCAGGCAAGGTCAGTCTCTGTGGTCTTAGGCTGTGTCCTTGAGGTCAGTTCTTCTTTTCCAGGTCTTCTCCCACCCCCACCTCCCTTAGGTATACCGTAGCTAATTATTTTAGTATAATTGTACTAACCAATAATAATAAAATTACCTAACCAATCATACCCCATCACCTTAACTGATTTACACCTAGCAAAATTAATTATACAGCAGACAAACAGTTACAAACCTGACAGAGATCACACAGACAAACAATAGGGAAGTGTAGTGACAATGATCATAGGATGAGGATTCCACAACATCCTCTATTGATAAGCAGTTTCTTGCCAGACAGAAGGGTAAAGAAATCTTAAGTATCACCAACCTTGAGATCTATTTCTTTATCTGGTGACAGTGGGGGAGCTATCAAGGGCAAAGTCCACTCTTCACAGCCTTAATGTGATGCTTTGTAATACAATTTAGATGAAACTGTGAGTATGTGTCTCCAGGCCTTACAGTAATGGCTGTTACTCTTCAGTCTGGCTACAGAAGATGGCTTTGGTTCAGGCCTAGCACAGGCCTTCCAATGTGGCTACAGAAAAGCCATATTGTTACAGGGGTAGCTGTTGTAAGTGACACCATGGCTGTATAGTTCTCCACTTATCCCCAATCCCACTTCTGCCTTGCCGCCACACCCAGACCTCCTCAGATCCCCTGCCTGTAGGCTCCCATAGGAAGGAAAAGTTGCACTTTTCCAGCAACAGTCATTGTGTGAGTCCCTGCCCCTGCAGTAGTGTTTTCCTCTACTCACTTAATCCCTTGTCCAAGTGGGCAGATTGCACTTGGTCTTTGAACATGTCAGCCCTGGTAGGTTTTGTTTCCCAGTGCCACCTGGAGGCTTGAGTCCTGACCTGCCCCTTACTATGCCTGCCACCAGAATCCAGTTGCTCCCACAAGATCTGTGGTGTACTTGCTGCATAGTAGGTACTTACAAACAAACTTTGGACAAGCCTTCCTTTATGCTAAGAGATGAGGTTTTATTTTCCACAGTTCATCTCTTGTGAAGTCTGCCCTTCACTTTTTGTTACAGGGGGCCTGCTGCACACTCCCCTAGGTCAAGCTCCTCCAGCTGTTTGGCTAGCACAGATGTGAAAATGAAAACCTATTAGGGCTGACTTTATTCAAGGACCAAGTGCAATCTGCCCACTTCGACAGGGAGGGATTAAGTGAGTAGAGGAAAATAGCTGCTGCAGGAGGTGAGAGTGGAGCCTGAGGACAGGAGCATGTGCAGGGAATGTGAAGTGAAAATGCAGGGGAAAGTCTTGGCAGTCATGACAGAGATGATAACAAACATGGTGGACTTCTAGGAGAGCCAAATGCACAGGCACCCCTTCCTACCTTTGTGAACCCACATTCCTTCCTCTCCAAGTTCCATAGTCAAGGAGCAGTGAGTCTCAGCCAGTAAGGGCCCTGTCCTCAGCAAGGAGCTGCTGCTGCAGCTGAGGAAGAAGTGCTTCTCTCCAGCCAGGCAGTGCTATGTGGGGAGCCTTGAGCCTCTGTCTGGGTGAGGCTCATTAAGCAGCTGCAGGGCCCTGCTGCCACACAGCTTAGAGGGAACTTTGCTCCCACCCTGAACTCCTGTCCATGTTTCTTTGTGCTCCCTATGTAAAAATGGATGATTTCTCAACAACAGTTGCTTTATTGCTTGTGCTGCGTGAGGGGAGGCAGTTACAGACAAGTACACCTTGTTTAGAGCAACACACACAACTGGCCATTCACAACACTTTTTTTCAAAGCTTATCTGATTTGCAGTGCACTTCAGTAAACTCTCCTTACTGCCCTGGTGTCTGGCTCCTGATTATTAGTGGCTCCCTCAGCCCTCCACTCAAGCAACAAATTTCTCCCTTTCACAGATATTATGGAGCATACAACAAGCTGTCACAGCTTGGGAATGTTGCTTTTAAGCTCTAACCTACTCAATAAACTGCAAAACCTCCCCTTTGAATATCCAAGAGCAAATTCTACCACCATTCTATACTTGCTCAGCCTATAGTTGAACTGCTCCTTATTACAGTCCAGGCTGTCTGTTGACGGCTTCATGAGGCATGGGAGCAAGAGGTAGGTTGGGTCTCCAAGGATCTTTATTGGCATTTCAACACCTACGATGTTAATTTTCCTGTCTGGGGAAAAATGTTCCATTTTGCAGCTTTCTGAAGAGGCAGGAGTTCTTAAAGATGGGCACATCATGCACCCTTTCCAACCTTCCTACGCTGATGTCTGTGAAATGCCCCTGTGATCTAAGGGCACCTGGTACACCATCAAAAAGTGCTCCTTGCTATTTGTTCTCTTGGCCGTCCCTCTGTCGCACCACCACAGTTAGGAAACTCTATTGTGACAAAGTTCTCCACTGTATCCTGCGCATCAGAGGTTGGCAACCAACAGCACAGAAGCCAATTTTCCGTGGCACATGGGGTTGGAGCTCAGTTTCCCCCCCCACCTCCACCCCACTCCCAATGCAGCAGTGAGCCCATGCTGTGGCTTTAGCCTCAGCCAGGTAGTTGCAGGCTGGTACTCCCTGCTGGGCGGGGAGGTGGGAGATGTGTGTGCACGTCCCTGGGGCTGCCCCTGCCTGGCCTGGGTGTGCATCTCCCAGGAGTTAAGTGGTTAACACGTGTACACATGAGCTACAGGCTCTGCTCTTTGCTCTAGGAGGGGCCAGGGGCTGGGCCAGCTCCATAGATTGGGGCTGGGTGGCTGGTCACACATGGGCACTGAGGTGGGGGGGAGCAGGGACCCCCTTTGCCAGTGACCCACTCCACACAGACCCACAGGCTGCAGGTGAGGTGTGAGCCCTGGGCAAAATGGCTAGGCTGGGCAGAGAAGTGAGTCTGCCTCTTTCCTCAATCTGCTTATTAAGTTTGCAGATGATACCAAACTGGGAGGGGTTGTGACTGCTGTGGAGGATAGGGTCAGAATTCAAAATGATCTGGACAAATTGGAGAAATGGTCTGAGGTAAACAGGATAAAGTTTAATAAAGACAAATGCAAAGTGC